CTAACCAGAGCTGTGGTATATAGTTCAGACTGTTACTGTCCACCGCACCTTGACAGGGGACCACTCACAGTGTTGATATCATTACTGCTTTGAAGTTAAAGCAAAAAATTAAAATTATAACAGCTGTTTCCAACATTGTATGATTTGCATACACAACAGTTTTCTGGCAGATGGCAATAACGTCTCTAAGTCTAATAAAAATATAACACTCTGTACAGAAAGCATTTTAAAGAAAACTTTCTGATATACACAGGACTCTGTATGGGCTGTGGAGGCCTTGACTTTACACAACACTCCATGGGCACCTACGAGACTTGCTAGACCAGCCTAGCTCCCAATGGCTCCTGAGTCTATCCCTCCTTCATTCTCATTGCTACTGCCTTGAATTCAGACATCCTCTCCTTCCCAATATAGCTTGCTCGGGCCTTTGTTGATGCTTCCTTTCTAATCTCTTCGCCTCCTATGTTTTGTCCCCCTCCAGACTGCTAGCAGATGATCTTTCTAAAATGATTTCACCAAGTGACTACCCTCTTTAAAGTATTTCAATATTGCGCCTCCCTGTTGGCTCAAGGGATAAAGTGTCAGCACTATGAAGCAATCCACAGCCATTACAGCACGAGTTCGATCCCTGGCTAGGGAGGTGACCTACAGGGCGCAGCAGACCTCTCCTGACTCGCCCACTGTTCCCCTCAACAGTTTATTTCAATAGATCCGCCTGTTCTGCTCCCCACTTTTTCTCTGGTGAATCTTCTCACCCCCTTGCCCCACATCTCTGGCCTACAACCCCAGCTCTGATATGGATAAATAAATCTTAAAAAAAAAAAAAATAAAGTGTTTTCAATATTCTCTCATTTCACCCTGTCCTCCTGCCCTCCTGCCAATACCATTTCCTATACACACCCTATGTTTCAACAACACTGAAGCCACATTTGATATATGTTTACCTAGAACACCTGATAGGTCATCCAGCCGATTCCAATTCATCCTTCAGAAATCAACTCAATGGTCTTCTCATTAAATCTTCCCAGATTAACCCAGATTGACCATACCCTCCTTTATATAATCAGCATAGCTAATTATACCTTTATCATTGCACTTCTCCAGAGTTGCAATTGTTTTTGCATGCCTATCTTCTTATGGATGTGTTTAACGGCTTAAGCATATGGATTGTATTTTACCTGCAGATTACTGATATGTATCGCCCACACCTAGCCCAGTGCCTCTTTGTTGATTGAATTTAGTTAGTACATCTGTGCAAGTTTCTGAGACGTCATGGAAGGTGGATTTTATAATGGGAGAAAGGAAGAGAATTTGAATGTATTAAGGATCTTTTACATCAGGTGTTGTCCTAAATATTTTATACATAGAACCTTGGCTTTGGGGTAAATATGTAAAAACTTTAATAGCAACAAGCCAGATTTCATTTGCTGTTTCCTTTATAGTATCTTGAAGAGTCTCCAAGAACTTCTCTGCTAAGTTCTGCTTCTGCCCTTGGTGGCCTATACTAATTTGCTGCATTTAGATCTTTGTGGTTTCAAAGGGGGGCTGTAGGGTAAGGTAAAAAGTATCAGGATTTTCTGCCCTCTTGCCATCAGGATAGATGACGGATCTGTGGTCCCGAATGCATGCCTGATGGTGGGCACCTGGAATAGGGTGTGGGCATATGTAGATGGGATTCAGCTGGGCTAAGACTGGGCTTTTAAGGGTGGCGTCACGGGGACGCCAGCAGAAGCAGAGAAGCAGAACTAGAACCACGAGAGAGCCCAGACAGAATGAAGCCTTGCTGGGGGCTGGGAGACCTGCCAGCCTCCTAGCCCCCCAGTACCCCTGCCTGCTGTGTACCTGGTAAATCCCAATAAAAGCCTGAAAAGCCACTGAGGGCTCCAGGACTCTCTCCTCTATTGTCTGCTGGGATCATAGAAAACCTGCTCAGTGCCCCTTCCTACCCTTACAGGGGCTATTTCTTTGGATTTGTTTTGGCATTATGTTCTGTTGGGAAGTACCAAACCAGTAATACCCTTTATCTTGTTAATGTCTTACAGGATCTTTTTTGATAAGCTCAACCTGTTGAGTCTCCCCCTCTGTGACTTCTAAAGCCCTTCCTGGCACTATTGTACCTACATTCATAAATGTCACTGAAATCCAAGGATATTTTCTGGTTAAACATTTCTTATTCGTGGGAGTATGAAACTTGCTTTTCCTGTTCTTAAGGTTCAAGAAAGCAGGTCTACATTCTATGTGAATTATTCTGTGAGATCACTCTTTATGCTTTTCCAAAGGTAAATGTAAAGTTCCTCATTTAAGTTTTTGGGTAAAACATGCTACTTAAAAAATAGGACCACTCCAATATGCAGCTGTACTGTGTGTGCAATACAGGTTTCAGGATATAGTCCTAAAAGAACATGGTCAGGTGTAAAATGTAGATACATGGATACATGTAACTGGCAAAAATCGCCAAAGTCATGAAGATCTAACACGTGGTCCCAGTACTTCATTACAGCTAATAACCTGTAGGAAATCTAATAACTACTCAAACACTTCAGCTTATAAGAACTTCATCTAGGCCAGTTCTTTTTCAAATGTCCTATTTTTATTTTTCACAGAAGTAATTTCATTGTTCTCAACTTTATGAATATTAAGGTACAACCTGATGGACAAACTCTTCATCAAAATAAGTTGGTGTATTATTATAGGTAATAAAGGTTTTAAAAATTAAGACTAGCTGTTCAGTGTCCAAGAAAATCTCCATCAACTAAAACCAGAAAGATCTTGAAAATTTAACATAATGCAATTAAGTACTGTGCCACTTTGTACTGGTTAATGGAGAAGCAGATACAATTCAAGGTTCTGATGCTCATTCTTGCCTATTTTCAAACATGGTCATAGTCCGAGGGATTAGTTAGGCTCCTGGATCCTGCCATGTATATTTATTACCTGGTAAAAGATCATCTATTCAGAAGGCAATTGTTTCCAAAGTATTGGAGTCACCTTGCTTTTTTAATTAATACATCTAGACTCTGAAAATATTGTTTTCAGAGTACCTCAAGTCCCAGACTTCAGAGAAATGGCATTCCGCTGTACTTTAATTACCTGTTATCTAACTGGTTTCAGGTTTAACAGAGATAGGAACCATGGAAGGAATAACTGGCTCAGGGTCCAGAGCAGTGGAATGTTAATGTTGGCGCTCCAGTCAGCCCAAGCTCCTGTATTTAGAAATGAGAATTTCCTGTTTCTATTGACCCTATAATGCTCACAGCCTTTGCTTCAGAACCTTAAAAATGAAATGAAAAAATAAATGTTTTCACCCACCATATTTTCGTCTTTCTAAAACTGTTCACTTGTTCACTGATTCATGGAACAGTTTTCTCAATCTCCTCCCCTCACAGTGGCCTTCCCATCAAAATGGGGGGGAGTATCTATACGTGGGTCCTATATCTCAAAAAAAAAAAAAAAAGAAAAAGCCTGGATTTCACACTGCAACCTAGATTAAAAACTGACTTGCATTACACACATTTCCTAGCCCCGCATTGAGAAGTAGTTCCACTCCTGTTATCATCACATTTATTGAACACTTACTACATGCCAGGTACCTAAGTGTATTGCGTGTAAAAAGTTGACTTAACCCATATGGCAATCTATGAGGTAGATACTATCATGATATTCAGTTTGTATATGAAGAAACTGAGATACAGAGTTCAATTTCCTTAAGTTCACACGACCAATAAATGCCAGAATTGAAATTCAAATATTTAAAACCTGGTCTCAGGGTTTGTGCTGATAGTTCTCAGAATGCATTTAAGGAAAAAAAAAAATCATTAAGATAATTTGCTCTACCATTAAAGTCTATTATTTGAAAATATCTTACATAAAATTAGTAAGATAAAATCACACCAATCTCACAATCTATGAATTCACTAACTCTTCACAGAACCTGCCCATATGTAGTCTTAAATGATGCCCAATACTAAATAGCTTTTTTTTCAGCATCAGAGAAAATCTTGTTTATTTCACATTTCATTAATGTCCCTCTTAGTTTGAATTGTCCTACAGCAATGCTTTTTAACTTGACTGCAAATTAAAATTACCAGTGGAATTTTCAAAATTCCCACTACCCCCGCCATATCCCAAATCAATTACCAGAATCTTAGGGGCAGTACTCAGACACTAGTAGTTGTCAAAGCTCCCCAGCTGATTCCAGTATGCAGCTAAAATTGAGAACCACTAGCCTAAATGACTTCATAGCTTACAAACAAAAGTTAAGTCCAATACTAAATAGTTTTAACCTAATGGTGTGAGAATTTGCTGTTTATCCCACCCAAAATTACATAAAATGAAAACTTTGTTTTTCCATCACTTGACTAATTTTCAGTTAAATTGTTGCCACAATTTTTTTTTTCTGTATTCTTATCAGCTCGAAGGTCTCTATGGGAGAAAAATTGAACATATTATTTTTGCAATGTTTATTATCAGTGCATCGAAAGATTTCAGTCCTGGTGTCCCTTGAGAAAAAGAAAAATCGAAAGTTAAACAGCTGTTCTAAACTTACGGAATTGTGGTATAGTTAAAAACAGCTCTGTCTTTTGATGTACAAGCTACTACTCTAATGAGGAAGCGTCACTGTTTGAAAACTAAAATTCATTTGAAGTTTCAATTACCTCAGATGTAGCGATCACATACTACATAGCAGGTACTTTCAAGGTGAATTTGATTTTCTGAACTTGAACTCTCTAAAATGTCTGTCTCACAGAAGACAACAATAGCAGAGAAATGGTTTATGAATTACAATTTGTGTAGCTTTATGAATGACATTCAAAAACTCAAGACTTGTCCGAATGCAACAGACAGAAAGACTGAGCAAACACAATTTTGTAAGAAAAAAATCCAGCAGCTCCCCTCCCAGGAATGCCCATCCGTATCTATGCTGGTCTCTCCTTTCTCCCTTCCCTAGTAAACCTGTCCTTTTAAAATGTGAAAAAAAGAAAGAAAAAAAATCTAGTTTCACTTACACTGTTATGTTCTGAAAGTTTGTGTCATTCCCCAAAATCACATATCATGGCATTTGCAGGTGGAGCATCTGGGAGGTAAGTACTCTCAAATGGGATCAGTGCCCCTACAGGAGGGACCCCAGGGAGATCTTTGCCCTATCTACCACCGTGAGCTTGGTAGCTGCCTATGAGGAAGTAGGACTTCCAGCATCCAGAAATAAATTTGTAGATTATAAGCCTCCCATTCTATGTCATTTTGTTATAGCAGCATGAAAGAAGACAACCATGTAATAGTCTGAAAACACCTGAAAGGTAGGTTTATTATTTTCTATTTCAAATACAGTATTCCAACAATTTCCTTTCTACAAACTTTAAAATTGAAGTCAAGCAATGCCATCTACAGGGAACCTTTAGAACAACATCATATTTCTTTGATCCACACTACTCTCTAAATGATTACTTATAGACTGGTTAATATTACTTGGCACATTCAACAGGAAAAATTTCAAGGAAAAAGACTATGAATAATTAAAAAGCTATGCTGTGTAAAAAAATTCCACTAATTCTGGATCATTAATACTTAATTAAAAATAACCTAACTTGGGCTTCCCTAGTGGCCTAGGGGTTAATAAATCTCAGCGCTAACTAACAGGTTAAGTTTCAGACTTAAAACTAAACAACTTCAAAGACCTTTAAAGTTACGTAGAGGAGGCTACACAATACACTTGGAGAATACAATTTTTCCAGCTGTCGAATTCCTCTTCAGTAGCATCACATTTACCTTCTTGGCCAGACTCTGTATTTTCATAGTTGCAAAGGCTGAATCTTTTTATTTTTAAACATTCATAGACGATTCCACACTGGATTCAAAGTTTCTTTCTTCCTTGTGCAGTGTAGCCCACTTTAATCACAGGGTGGTTTGCTTTTATTTCTGCTCCCTTTTCCCTGCTTTCTTCCTTTTTTTGAGAATTAAATGCTATGAGATTTCCTTATTGTAATGCTTGTCAATTTAGGGTAAACATTAAAATCATCTGAGGCTCTTTAACAAAATTACCATGCCTTTGCTTAATTACTGGAATGGGGCCTAAACACGGCTTTTTGCTTGAATTTTTCAGGTAATCCTATATACAGCCTAGTTTGAGAAACACTGCCCTCCTATCCAGACTTCTTAATTGGTATAACTGCATTCTGGTAATTGGCCTATGAGTTTCATTGTGCAATGCACCAACCCCCATCCATCCAGTTTCCCCTGGCACTGGTCATGCCCTCAGATTAGCAAGCTGGTTATATTCTGGCTAATCCCTAACTAATAACCCACCTTACTTATTGGATGCACCTACCTTTTAAGCTTTCCATGTTACTACAAAAACTATGTAGTTCCAAGGTTAGCAGGATCCATCTTCAGTATGTTTCTGCATGACCGGTCCCACATTACTTGTCTAATTCCATTGCCATACTCTGGAATAAAACACTACATGTGCTGTGCTAACTGCTAGGTAAATATAAATCCAACCAGGTGGAAAAAATGCTGGTCCCCCACTTTGGAAGCATCCTGAACCTTGAATTATTCCCTCAGGCCTCCCTCCCAAGGTATCTGAGTGCATATATACCTTCTTCACGCTCTCATGGGACAGGACAAATGACAAAATGCCACCTACCAACTCTGCACCTCCCCAAATGGAGAACTTTCCCAGGCTTCTCCCGCTGCCCACTGAATGGTAGTAGGTGACAGGGCATGCTCTATAAATTGGTACCCCCTCAGGAAGCCCTGCAGTGCTCACTGGTCCTAACCACAGTGTTTTCTCATCTTAGAACATGGAAACTTGGTATCTTTGTTTTTGCCTTGTCCCAGAAAAAGAAAAAAACCCACTTGACTTACAAATTTCTCAATTCCACAGCCAGTAACTTAGTTCAATTTCCCAGAAACAGCAATGAAAGTATGCAGGTGACTAAATAAGGAGCTATTAAGTCCACTAATGGAGTGAGAATAGGGTAAGGAATGAGAGGAAACACAAACATGGATGTGAGTTTGGCAATGTTGCACATAAGGTGACCTTAGCCAGATTCCTCCAGGAAGTTCTGGAGTGTAAGGTGTACTACACGTTAGAAATACAGTGAAGGGAGAAGGAAAAGTGAAAGGATCTGAAGAATCTAGATGGACTACTATAGCTGATTAATGTTACTTCTACAAGCTCCGAAATACTATGGAACAACCTAGAAAGTGGTCATTGTCTTGGTCATCACTAATAGCCAAAGCTGTCCATAACAAAGTACCAATTAATTTAGATTACACTAACTGATTGGTAAACTGCTTAAAGAAATTCAAGGTAGCATAAACACAGGATAAGGCTGAAGGAAAGAACTATTTCATGAACTTTATTAATTTCTCTAAACGGGGTGCCTTTGCTCTTTCTGAAAAGCAGTTACCGTTAGAAATTCATTTTCTTCAAAGCTATTTCCGCAACATTCACAAAATCAGATTCTCAAAAACAATTTTTATTTTAACACATAAAATATACCACCTAGCACCAATGTCCACTTATGACTCTTTAGAACTGGTGTGACTGGAAGTCCTTGACAGATAGGTTTATGTGAGCAATTCCTATAACATAAAACACAGACTACACAGAATCAAAGTCATTTGGAAATACAGACAGAACTGTATTTGTAGTTATTAAAAAATGTTTCACATGCACAAGTTAACCTACTAGTGATTTTAGCTAGATTTTCTTGAAAAATAAACATGAAGGTCATTAGCCACACAAATGCATGAATTGGAAAGATATTTTTTCCTCACTGCATTCTCAAAAAAATTTTTTTTTCTAATGGTAACTTTTTCTCATTTCCAAGCTCCTGATTACTGACTTTTATTCTTACCAACTCACTACAGTATAATTTACTATCTAAGTCAGATAGGTATGTAAGGAGAAAATCTTTGGCCAATGTGAATATAAAAAAACAATTATTTTCAGGTGTTCTTTAAAAAAGATATTTAATTATGAAAAAAAAAAGAATATTTAATTATGGAATCAATGCAATGAAGATCCGCATGGTAAAAAAATTACTGCATAACTATGTTAAAATGAAAACTTTCTTTCAAATTTATCTATATTGAAAACAAACTAACATTTACTGGTTTATACAATACAGAGTATCTCTCTTTATAAATTGGATCAATTTATCTCTAGTTTCCTGAAAATACTCCAGTCAAACATGCTGTGTCACTGTTTAATTTATATCTGTATTTGAGGAGTGACAGAAGTTTCTTTTAAGAAGAACCTGATGCTGAGCTAAGTAAACTAAGTTGGACTTCAGGTCCACTGGTAGAGTCAGTCATTTTTCATACTGCAGACAGCCCATGGTGGTTGTCATGTATATACTGGATCTCTAGGGACATGCTGGAAAAATCTGTGAACACAATCTTCCCATGCTGAATTAACATGCTCCATTCACATCTTTTGCTTACCCAGGTTGTTAGAGGATTGGGTAAGGTAGCTCAATGATGGAAATTTCATGATGGAAATTTCTATAAGAAGAAAAAAAGAAACTTTAAAGATTACTTATCACCAATTAAGTATTTACTGAGTACTTATTTACTTAGGTAATAAGCCTAGTAATGGCTAAAGGTAATTCAAATGTACACCCATGAATAATGTTCAAAAATGGCTCTTTGTTGATATCTAAAGCATAAGAAAGCAAACAAAAAGCAGATATACTGGATAACATAAAAATCTTCGTGCTTCAAAGGTCTTACTATCAAAAAAATGAAAAGACAACCATAGAACCGGAAAAGTATTTGTCAAATATCTGGTAAGGGTCTAGTATCTAAAATATATAAGGAATTCTTTAAACAACAGTAAAAAAGATAACCCAATTTAAAAACAATGTACTTCCTCTAAAGACACAGAAATAGCCACTAGGTATACAAAAAGACACTCAACATTTTAGAGTTGTGGAAATGAAAATTAAAACCACAAAGAGATACCAATTACTAGCCACTAAGATAGCTATAATTAAATAGATGGACAATAACATGTTTTGGTGAAAATATGAAGAAATTGGAACTCTCAGACATTGCTGATGAGAATGTAAAATGGTATTAACTTTGGAATATAGTAAGGCAGTACCTCCAGAAGTTAAAAACAGAGTTCCCATAAGACCTAGCATTTTTACTCTACGTATATCTCTAAGAGGTTTGAAAAACACATTTCACACAAAAATTTTTACATGAATACAACAACAGAATTAGTCATTATAACAAATAAGTAGAAACAAACAAAATGTCCAGCAACTGCTAAGTGGATATATGCACAGAAGAATATTATGCAACTGGGCCTCCCCGGTGAACGCAGCGGTTGAGCACTGGGTTGCGAAGCTGCCCGCAGCCTCCGCAGCGCCAGTTCGATCCTTGGCCACCAGCGAGGGTCCCACATGGCGTGACAGACCTCTCCTGCTGCGCCCACTGCTCCCCTCAGCAGTGTATTTCTTTGTCCGTCTGTCTGTTCTGCTCCCCGCTCTGGCTCTGGTGAATTCTCTCACCCTCCCGCGCTTCTGACTGTACCCAGTGCTTGTATAAATAAATAAATATTTTTTTTTTTTATTTAAAGAATATTATGCAACTATACAAAGGAGTGAAATAGTGCTGTATACTACAACATGGATGAACCCTGAAAATACCTTGTGGAGTCAAAGATGCCAGACAGAGAAATCCACATAGTATGATTCTATTTCTATGAAATGTTCAAAACAGACACATGAGACAGAGTGGACTGCTGGTTGCCAGGGGTTAGGAAAAAGCTATGACTAGGTCTGCTAAGGGGTACTGAGTTTATTTTTGGGGTGATAAAAATGTCTAAAATTAGAACATGCTGATGGGTGTGCAATTCAAAATATATTAAAAACCACTGAACATGTTAAAAGCGTTAAATTTTGATATGAATTATATCAATTAAAACAATGCTTCTTTGCTCCAAAAGCTTAACTCCTTAAAAATAAACAACAAATAAATCTACTTTTAAAGCTACACAAAAGCCTCGTTAAAACTAAATCCCTTAAGGCATAAAACATTTATATTTTTATTAACTGATGCCATTTGCAGCAACATGGATGGAGTTGGAAGGGATTATGCTCACTGAAATAAGCCAAAAGAATATCGGATGGTTTTACTTATAGGAGGAAGATAGGGAACCAAATAAGGGATCAGGGAAAAAATAATAAAAAATAAAAATACAAAATTAACAGGAAACTATAAATCAGAAACACTTGGCAGGGGAAGGGGAGGGAGAGGGATCAAACCAGGAGAGGGAAGAGCACAAGGGACTATGGTGATGGTGCACAGGTGAATTGGTGGTGGGAATTTTACGGGGACTACACCTGAGAAGAGAGCATACATTGTACAAAAATGAACAATGATGTAAAATATAAATAAATAACAAACTTTTTATCTTTGAATCCTCAGCACCATGCCATATAAAATTTAGTTATCTGAATTACTAATCCCACTGCTCCTCTTTTCTTTACATTCCAAAGATCTAGTTGTGATCTCAAAAGGTTATTTGCTTTTGGCTAGAATTCACATAAGTAGTCTCACTTTATCCATGTGGATATGTTCCAAGACATCCAATGAATGCCTGAAATCATGGATAGTATCAAACCCTATATATAGGTGTTTTCCTATATCCACATTACCTATGATAAAATTTAATTTATATATCAGACACAGTAAGAGATGGATGATAACTAAGAAAACAGAACAATTGGGCCTCCCCTGGTGGCGCAGTGGTTGAGCGCTGGGTTGCAAAGCTGCCCGCAGCCTCTGCAGCGCCAGTTTGATCCCCAGCCGCCGGGCAAGGGTCCCACATGGCACAACAGACCTCTCCTGCCGCCTACTGCTCCCCTCAGCAGTGTACTTTGTCAGTCTGCCTGCTCTGTTCCCCACTCTGGCTCTGGTGAATTCTCTCACCCTCCCGCGCTTCTGACTGTACCCAGTGCTTGTATAAATGTATAAACAAACAAACAAACAAACAAACAAATAAATAGAACAATTATGACGATAAGGAATGAAAGCAATGTGAATGTATATCTTATTGTCCATATATATTTTCAGACTGGATGACTGTGGGTAACTGAACCCAAGGAAAGTGAAACAAGGGCTAAAGAAAGACTACTATAATAAAAAAACTTCATAAACAACTTCAATCAAAGCAAAGACAACAGGAAACAAGGACTTATTAAATTAGCATCCTTAACTAATAAAATGCATCATGTCCCTGCCTGATATCAGTTATATATACAAAAGGTACAGTTATATATACAAAAGTTATATATACAAAAATGGATGAAATACAACTCCCTTTTGCAGTGTCAAACTCTAGGCAACCTGCATAAAATTTAACTGTTATAAAAGGTAAAGGAAACAACAAAAATGGGGAACATATTCTATTTAACTGAATACCTTTTTTTTTTTACCAGCCAAATTTTATCCACCTGGTTATTTTTTACTTTGACTATTAAAAGAGTAATAGAAACTTAGTTACTTGAATGAGATAATGCCAAATGTAAAGCTATATAATGTTACAGTTGGAAAAAACCTTTACAAAAGAAACCAAACTTATTTTAGAGGAAAAAACAGAGGTCAGATAAATTAAGTGACCCTAATACCGAGAATTAACCCAAGTCCATTGAATCATTCTATTTTTTCCACAACAAAATCAAAATCTGCACCATACATAGGCTCAGAGACTGTCCAGATAATGAAATTTCCTCAGAGGAATGAAAAGCCAGGAATGTATTTACCGATTTTTTCTTTCTGATGTATAAAATATGAATATCTTCACTTTGATATTCTTCATCATGTTTTTCCAAAGGAATTTTTTCAAAGTCAAAGTCTAGTTGAAGGAGCTATAAATTTAAGAGAGATAATGTCAAGCTCAATAATATGAACCATTCTGTGGTAATAGAAGTCAGAATAGAGGTTTTATCTTTGTAAGAGTAGTGAATTGTGAGGGACATGTGCGAGCTTTCTGAGATCCTAAAAATGTTCTGTATCTCTGTATTGGGTAGTGGTTACGTGAGTATATTACACATGTAATAATGAGCTGACACTTGCTATATGTGCGTTTTATATACATTTTAACTCAATAGAAACTGTTTAACAATATAAAATTTTCCATTATAGTTGTGAAAGTTTATTAATATTCTCCATAGTCAAGAAAAACATGAAAATAAATATGTATTTTAGAATACATATGTGCTTTCTCATTAAACCAAAATTGTCCTTTTAGTGGATAAAACTGCAGGGCTGCATAGATATAGCTCAAGAGGAGTCACTTATAATGAATATGATGGATTTTTGCACATAAAGAGAGTCTGGGTAACAAGTGGGGGAAAATGAGTGGAATTTATATGGAACTCCATGTACTACTTTTACAATTTTGAGTAATTGTTTCAAAATAAAGTTTTTAAAAATCCTATAAATAGGATATTGTGGTCAAAGCTCTCATAAAAAAAACAGAGTATAATACAGAAGTAAAAAGATATCACATATCATGTATCTATGATGTACTTTTCAAAAGTAGTAATATATCATTAATGTGTTCCCCAAAGTGAGCAACATGTTTAATAAGCTAACATTGAATACTTTCTCAGAAAAGATAAGGATCTTTTATTATTTTATACTGCTTTACAGATACGTCAACTAATTAGAAAAAGAGATTTAGGATCAGAAAATGAAAAAGGAGGGGGGCATGGCTTAATAAATTGGTGGCCCATGAAGAATATTTTCCCCACCCAAAATCACCATAATGTGCTTGAACACAGTCTCATATAGTCTCCCTAAAAGGTAATCACTATAAAGTCAGCTCTAATAGAATACTCACCTCAAAATATTTTTTCTCAATTTCTGGATTTTTCCCCATTGTTCGCTGTTCATAGCAACATATAATACAAGTCTCAGATCCACTGAGCTCTTTTAGGGTTTTCAGCAACGGCTCCAAAGACTGTTCAAAAAAATACATAATTTTTGCTTATGACTTTAAAAATGTCTGTTTTTACTATAAAATGGGATTGGGAGGATGGAGGTGGTAATTATAACCTCTCTATAATTTTTCTTCTTTTTTAATTGTATTACTTTTTATTGTAGTAATATTGGTTCATAACACCATGTATGATTTAGGGGTATAGAAGTACTTCTTCAGAAGTACATTACAACATCCAATCTACTATCAAAGCATTAATAATCCTTGACCACAGACCATTAGGCTCCCCTTTCCCATTATTCTCTACTGCCACACTCTCCCTCTAGTAACCTCGATTCTGCAGTCATATATCTAGGGTTTGTTCTGGCCTGTATTTGTCTGTTTCTTTTTTTATTTCTCTATATTTCACATATGAAATTATACAATATTTGTCTTTCACCTGATTTCATTAGTACACTCCTCAGTTCCATTCACAGTGTTGCTAATGGCAAGATTTCATCTTTTTTTCTTTTTATAACTGAGCAATATTTTGTCACACACACACCACACCTTCTTAATCTACTCATCTGTCATTGGACATCTAGATTATTTCTATATCTTGGCTATTGCAAATAGTGTTATGATAAACACAGGTGCACATATATCCCCATCTCTGAATCACCCCAACAATGCAGTTTAAGCTCTGTAATTAATGAAGGCTAAACTCTACTTAACTTACCAACCAATATACTAATTTTAGTTTCCAGAAAAAGGTTTCTAATATCTGCACTTTTGACTTTCCATGAAAAAACAAATGAAACTGATTCACTCTCATAAGTTTAATTTTATTTAATCTAAAAATCTACCTTGGAGGGCCTCCCCGGTGGCGCAGCAGTTGAGCGCTGGGTTGCAAAGCTGCCCACAGCCTCTGCAAGGCCAGTTCGATCCCCAGCCCCTGGTGAGGGTCCTACATGGCGGGCAGACCTCTCCTGCCACCCGCTGCTCCCCTCAGCAGTGTGTTTCGTTCAGTCTGCCTGCTCTGCTCTGCACTGCTCTGACTCTGGTGAATTCTCTCACCCTCAGGTGCTTCTGACTGTACCCAGTGCTTGTATAAATAAATAAATAAATAAATCTTTAAAAAAATAAATAAAAATCTAACTTGGAATTTAAACACTTTACATACAGCAGCAAGTCTGACTAACTTGAACATAAGTTGGCTCAATGATTATTATATGAAAAATGGGTGATGCTCAGAATACCATACAAACAAGTCTTTCAAAAAATCACTGAGTCTAATAAATTTGGCCACAGAACAAATAATTCTTTACAACCCCATTTAATTCTCAACGTTGTGGTTAGCATGTTCATTAGCAACAAGTAAAAAAGAAAAATCTTACTTTTTTATAACTGATCTAATGGCAAAATTCTTTTAAATTTTTACAAAAGCATATAGTAACACATAACACATCTCAACAAGTTTCGCAGGCATGTAAACTAAACATGAGTGAAATATATAGAGTCCTCAGTGACCTTAATCTTCTCTGTGTTATCAGCTATAGGACAAACACTCTGCATTCAGAGATTTCAAAATGTAAAGAAACGTGTACTTTAGAAGCCACGAGATATGGTACCTCTTCTAAAGGAAGAGACTTCATCACTGAATGCTTACCTCTTCGTAGTATATGCAGTCAGCCATCAGGATGTAGTCTGGAGGAGAAGGAAAATCTTCTATTTCTTCTCCCCTTAAAAATGTCAACCAAATATTTAAAATGTTGCTTTAATAATCTAAAATTTCCGTTTTATGAGCAAGACCCGAAAAGTTCCCTTTGTAATAACTATGTTTTTAGTGAAACGCAATTTAAAGCAAACTACAAAATAAGCTGAAGGGCCATACAAACCATTTCAGTACCTTGGCTTGAATAGAACCGGTCACAAGATGTTTGTTCATGTTAATATTCATCTTCAATAAGTCTTGCAATTCCTCAAGATCCGTGACTACAACGTCTGCCCTATAAAATAACGTTGACTGAGGTGTAGGCAAGAGGGGGAAGCCAGAAATTGGGGTTTCCCCAGCAAAGCAGCGCGCCGTCTCGCCAGCTCTTACCCGAGGGTAGCGGCCATGAGTCCCACGGCCCCGGTACCAGAACCAAGCTCGAGCACCGACCGCCGGCTCAGTGCATGGGCCCCATCACCGGAAAACCCAGGTGTTTCCAGGTATTTAGAAAGGACAATGGCAGCGTCCCAAACAACACAACCCACGCCGCCGGAGCCATACTGCTGCAGACGTAACATTGTGCCATCTCGCTTCTCCAAAACGCGTACGAAGCTCCGCAGGGGGTCCTCCCCCGAGGACTCCAGAGTAGCCGCCATCGCTGCCCAGCAACCGGATGCAGACGGCGCACTGACGTCACATCCACGCGCAAAGCCCCGCGACGCGGCCTAGCGAGGTGCTGTGTACCACCTAGTGGCGGAGCTGGTGCCACAGCGCGTGCGCGAAGACATAAAGCTGGGCAGGCCACATTACCTGGGCGTGGCCGAGAGCGGGGCCATCGGTTTCCTTTACGCACGGCCCCGCCTTGCTCTCCGGGTTCCGGCTGAGCAAAAAGGCACTTTAAGTCAGTTTTCCAGACAAAATTAGTACTTATAAACTGTTCTTTAAAAAAAAAAGGCCACTCTCAGGGTTTTTACCCGGCTGGAGATTGATTCACAAAAGGTTACTTGTCTTAAATCGAGGAAGCTTCCGAGATCTTAACCAAGGATGCCTACAATCTTCTTAACATGAACCCAACTTCATGTAAATGCATAAAAATGGTTGCTGGATGTTTGCTTGCGTTTCAATAAACAGCGAAAGCAAAGTTATCCCTTTAAATTTCATCACTTAAATTCTTTGGGATTATGTAATTGACACTGCACAAAATAATGAAAATAATGTGTATAACTCTACTGAACTCCCCCTTTCCTTATAATGAAAACACATTTTAAACATTTTTTAAAAATTAAGATTGGGGTGATTTATTAATCTTGTTAAGAACTCTGATACAAAGCACAGTAAAAGGCCACAGACCAGTAAATAAACAATGTGGCTTTTGGCTACTTTACAACTGCTGCTACGGCACAATCAATAAAACAGGCTTTTTCATAACTTTGAACAAAGGAGTCCAAATGGCAATAAAAGTTTTACTCATTTGTCTGATTAAAGTTTAATAAAGCTTTAAGTATTTCCTGGTTTAAAAATTACCAATCTAAAAGTTTTTTTTTTAAATTTTAGTTAACACTAGATTTACAGATAAAATCACTAGGCTTTGAAGGCAAGGTAGCTGGATCCTATGCCATAAGAAATCTTTCCTCTGAATTTATGAATTAGTAAAGTAGCAGATTGTATTATAGGCCTTGAGTCACTTAAATTTATATAGGTTATTAGCATTATCTTTAAATATACAATATAAACAAAACTGTACACACATGGCATATTAACTTTGTTTTCCAAAACAATAGGCAACTCATTAGCTAAAGATACCATAGTCTGCAAAATCAAAAGGCACATCTGAATGAGATACATGCCCTTTTATCCTCCATGATTGGGTTAGGTAGTCTTTGTTTACATTTTGAAAAAATAATAAACACAGTGCATTCTAATATTTTCATTCTATTTTTCATTTTTGTCTTCAGCAGCAAGTTCTGGCATTTAAGACATGGCATTAAAGAGTTTAAGAACAGTGGGTGTTATTCACAATTCTTCTAAATGTAAAAACTAGAAAACCTCAAAGATGGTCAAAGAAGTTTAAAAATCAGTACACCACAATACCCCCTGTATTTGTGTAAATTCATTGCCTTAAAAAGGCATCTGTTACTCAAATTTGAAAAATTCCACAAATGCACTATCCCCTTTCAGTGCAAACAATATCACTTTAAACCATATTTTACCAGAGTCTACAGTGCAAATATAAATTCTTTATACTGGCCTTTTGGCAGCACTGAGGATCCAAGACAAGGCAATGCTACTGATCACCTGAGGATAATGGTAAAGGACATCTGTTATTTTCATTTTTTCCAATTTTTAAAAGTTTGATCAGTAGCATTTTTGTAAGAGCATTATTTGTAAAAAGTACTAAAATACTATGCCTTTTTTGAATAAATTAAAAAGAAAAACCTTTACAAATACCATTCCAGTGTCAATGACTACATATGGCTAAGGTCATTGAGGAGTTTCTGCATTTTCTAGCAAAGGCAGTCTGTACAATGGGGGATGCGAAAGCTCCCGTTTGTAAGTCTTTGGTGGCAGTTTTGGTAGGTGAGGGCTTGAATTCTGCCGTGGTGGAACAGGGGGAGCTTGAGGATGAGTAAGATTATTGTGACTAGAATTGTGCATATAACATCGACGTGGTACCCTTGGAGAGGGTGTGCTAGGAGGAGTGTTTGGTGAATTTGGACATGTACTAACGTCTCTGAACCAGTCTTGATCTCTATGAGGATGTCCTAGTGGAGGTGGCTGAAGGTTAAATGGATAGTTTATAAAGTGTTCTGGAGGTCGAACGGGAACTGGTGGAGGGGTGTCAGGAAGAGGATCTCTTGGAGGCGGTGGAGGTGGACTATGCAGAGATCCATCAAATGCACCAATAGAAGCAGGAACTCTGGGTTTTACTTTTGGAGGAGGAGGTTGTCTTGGTGGAATAGCAGGGGGATCACCATCAGATTTCATATTTCCCTCAAAAAAAAAAAAAACAACGCAAATTATACTTCTGCTCTCCTGAAAGATTTGTAAAAAGCATTTTTAAAAGACTTAAAAATTCTTATGTGTTAATTTAAATTGATCAAAATAGGTTAATTCATTTTAATTATCACATTTATGAGTAAACAGGTCCAGTTTAATTTTTATACATGAAATTTTTAATTGAAATCTTAGAACTCCCATGTTATCTTGCTTTAGACACTTCAAAAGCGTATGCATTTTAACTACAATAATAGGAAAGTGCGTGGAAAGAATATATAGCTTTGTAGATATGGAAAAAACATGGTGTCAAGAGAACTTAATGTTTAACTTCTGCTTTCTGGCCATTTACTTCTCCATTCCCTACTGAGGCACAGAGTAGGGGTTCTCAAAGTGTGATCTGGGAACCAGAAGCATCAGCAACACCAAGGATTTTGTTAGAAATGCATTAATCAGAATTTCTGGCAACCCATTATATTTTAACAAGTCTTCTAAGATGATTCTGATGTAGCCTAAAATTTGAGAAGCACCAGTTGAAACTCTCAAGAATGCTTTGAATACTAAAATTCTTTCTACCAGAAAGAAAACATATTTTGGAGAATCTGTCAATGTCCAGTTTTTTTAAGAAAAAAAGTACTATGAAAATTAAACCATTATTAAAAATATTTTCAAATAAAATCAAATGATTAAAAAATATAGGATAGTCAAATTATAATCAACAGACTTTCAAGATCAAGCAGTATTATGAATATTGACAACTTTGCATAAGTTGAGAAACCTAAGTCCTATATGACTACCTTGGAATTTGTAGCATCATGATCAAACTTTTTTCGAGGAGGAAGAGGTGGAGGAATCAGCGGCTCTTCACTTAGTTTATGTAAACTACCACACGAACTGAAGAAAGACTCTGGGGGAAAAAGATTAGTTTAACCACAATTTAATAGTGCAGTCATAAAGAAAATTTACAAAATAATAAAATATTAGGGGAAAAATTACCTCTAAACATGCCAAACAGAGTAAGAACTATTTTTATTTTGCTTTATTTCTTTTGTTTTTGTCATATGATTAAAAAATATCTACAATTATGGACCAATTCCTTCTTTGATATCTCAGCATATAATTACAAAGGCAGTAACCATGTCTTGTATGTCATTATTACGGAGGATTGGATTCACAAGAACCAGGTAAATAAGTTGATGTGGTTCCTTTTACACTTGATCTTAGTCAAAAGGCTGAGAAGCGATGATGTGGTTCCTTTTATTTTTTTTATTTTTTTTTTTTTTTAAAGATTTATTTATTTATTTATTTATACAAGCACTGGGTACAGTCAGAAGCACGGGAGGTTGAGAGAATTCACCAGAGCCAGAGCGGGGAGCAGAGCAGGCAGAGGGGCCGAGGTACACTGCTGAGGGGAGCAGCGGGCGGCAGGAGAGGTCTGGCACCATGTGAGACCCTTACCCGGTGGCCGGGGAGCAGCGGGCGGCAGGAGAGGTCTGGCACCATGTGGGACCCTTACCCGGTGGCCGGGGAGCAGCCAGGGATCGAACCGGCGCTGCAGAGGCTACGGGCAGCTTCGCAACCCAGCACTCAACCGCTGCGCCACCGGGAAGGCCCTGTGGTTCCTTTTAAATACAGAGTATGAACTGCTTATGGGACATCCAAGCAGAGATGTCAAACTCTTTATTTCTTATCAAAAACTTCTATTCTGATGATGTTATGCCTCAGTTACCCTGGAGCCTTTGTTGACTGAAAAATGATTGTAACTGAAGCAGTTGCTCAAAAATTAGAGATGGAAGTCACATTTTGAGAATCATGAAGTTCTCTGCTAACTTGAAAATCCCATGGAGCACTTGTCTATTTGTTCTGCCTATTATGAGAAATAACCTTCTATTTAATTTATTGTTATTTATAAGGTATTCTTTGCTGCAGCAAGTATATACGAGTTTAAGGATTGAGAATGTAGGATAATATGTGGAAGAATTTTCCTCATTTTTGTTCAGTGTCATACCTCTCCTACCTAGAATGGTGCCTGCAATTTTAAGGCAATTAAAAATTATGCACAAATAATTTATGAGTGACTGATTTGGACTTCTAAACAGCAAGAATGAAAGCTAGAAGATATTCAATATTCTGCTGATATATATATGTAAAGGTAGGAGAAATGCCTTCAAGATTCTGAGTGAACCTATAAAACTACTAACACAGTAAAACCACTAACAAATATATGATTGTATTTATACAAAAGCAAGAACTTAAAAATTTTATATTCGACTGGAGACTATAACCCTATCAAAATAAGGGAGCTTATCAAGGAAGAAGACAAGGTATCCAAAAAATAAGGATCCAACACAGGAGAGAGGGAAAGGGAATTTTTAGAATAACAATGAAAGGATAACAGCTGGATCAGAGGCTGGGACAACAACCAGCCTATACTGAAGCAGGAGGACAAAAGGACATGAGGAAGTTCCTAAGTTAAAAAGGAAAAAAAGACATCCTGATAGCTTCCCATATTGCTATGACCTTGTGGAAAGCTGTACTATGAAAGGGTGTAGGAAGACTGAGCAATACATGTTTTAAAAAAAATTAAAAGACAAAAAAAACCCCTAAGTGTCAATGAGGTTATTATTAACTTTAGAAAACAGCTGTACAAAAAAAGCATAAGTATACCCTGCTTGACTTCACAATGATAACATTATCTGTTATGTG